GGTCTTTGAGACGTGAATAAGATTCCCAAAGTAAGCATATTCCAAATGGGTCATGATATCTGATCATCTTGAAGCTCAAAGTACTGAACGACCAAACTGAAAAAATTTTGAAGCATCTTTTCACTTTCTCTTTACCTTCTTTTTGTTTCCATTTATCACTTTTTCACCCTTCCCTAGCTCTTCGTTTCTTAAAAACAGCTAACAACCGAGACTGTAGTTTTGAAATATTTACATTTTCTGATCTATTTTTGTTCATTTCTTTTTGTAACAATGTGAATTATATGGGACACACTTGAAAGAAATTTTTTTTACTAGGGCCTGTACTGGTAGGACACTACGTCCTATTAATACCGTATTTTTTCATATCTTATTATAGAATTCTCCATATTTTAACGTTAATATAACCAATCTCAGTACAATACAAAAGCGCTACAAAATCTCCCTTGGTGTTTTAATTACACCATTGAAATCTAAAGAGCTAATAGACACACTTCATTCTATACTCACCCAGACTAAAAATAAAAGATTAATATATGTATATATATATATATATATATAGAGATAGAGAGAGAGAGAGAGAGAGAGAGAGAGAGAGAGAAATGCAGGAGGATGTACCTTATAATATGGAAGACAAACTTAGAGGCTTCAAAATCACCCTTTTAAGCCCTTTGTCTAATGACTTTATGTTTGACCTCTGATAAAGTCTCCCACATTAACCAGCCTTTTCCACCACTTTTTCTTCTTTATGAAGTGCTGTAACCCAAACAAAGTTGTTTTGGTGGTAAAGTGAGACTCTAGAAAAAGGAAAGAGAGAAAAAAAAAAAATCAAATGGCCAGCTGAGATTCAAATCTTTTTAGCACCAAACAAATTTCAAAACCACAAAGATCAAAAGTTCACAGTGTTTTGTGTCTTGATCATACTCTTTTTTTTTTACCTCTTTAATAATCTTGTTGGATCTCATATCACAAAGTAAAATTGCATATTCGTCCAAAAAGAACTCGATATCTACAACCACAAAATTAGCAAGTTTTCTCAGCAAGTTAAAAACCAACTTATATAGGTGATAATAATACCTAGCAATGACAATAAAATAGTAATAACAGGTAATATATAATAACGTTTGTCATATTGAAAATTGAGGTCCCACTTTCTTCTGTCATTATGTGATGTTGTTCATGTTACAGCAGAATATTGCTCATGGGGGGGAAGTTTGCTGTGGTGAGGGACCTATGACTCAACAGGAAAAAGGGAATGCCTTTCTTTAACTATGGCCCGTTTGGTTCTGAAAATCCAGATACCAACCATCATTACATTAAGAAAGTGGGTTGACACCATTCTTTTTGTAAACTTTATCGTTCATACATGGCAAAAGTGATTTGCAGCCTACATAAACCAAGGTTGTGGCTGTCTAGTGACTGTTAACTTGTATAGCCTAACAAATTGTCTTGGCGATTTATTGTCTTACGCAGATGATTTCGCGGATCGACCTTCACGATAAGATAGCTATGGGGTCCCATCCTCCTCCATGCGGTGCGGGGCTGGCGCCACCAGACCAAAATTTCATTAATGGTAGTTTCAGATTTCACACTTGTAAAATTTAGTTACCCTAGTTTTCAGTATAAGAGAGGGTCACGGTTTTTGGGGTTAATTAGGGAGGTAGAGAAAAACATAGAGAGTTAAGAGGTGTGCGATTTTCTCTTGTAAACTTTTTCTACACCATAATGAAAGGGCGCGTTTGGAACTCATTTCAAAATGATTTTATTTTTTGTATGAAAATGAAAATGAAAATGAAAACGTTTTTAATCTCAGACAGAAATCATTTTTAAAAATACGTTTGATAGTTTTATCAAGAGATTATTTTCAGTGTAAAAAAAATTCATTAATGTATCTCTTTGTCTCTCTCTGCTCGAGAGAGGAGAAAACAAAAACAAAAAATGAAAAACGACTAAAAGTCATTTTTCATTTCTCTCTCATTTTACACTAAACTAAAAAATCATTTTCATTTCCGTTTTTTGTCTTTATTGCGCCAAATGCCGTTTTGAAAACGTTTTCATTTTTTCTTTCTCAAAAAACGTGAAACGGAATCAATTCCAAACACAACCTATAGCACCCGAAAGAGGATGTAGTCTCATAGTGAGGCAAACCTCTATAAATTTTGTGTGTCGATTATGCTTCAATTATTTTCCGTGATTTTATCACTCTCAATTACATAGAATTAGAGTGTCTAACTCTAAACATGAACTAGTTTGGGATTAATGTAAATCCTCAATTAATTAGCTACATCTTTCGGTTTATTTATCAAACACATTCATAGTTAATCAAAATATAAGAAAGGAAAAAGATATATGTTTTTTTTTCTTTTCTGAAGCTAATTTACAACCTCGATCCCAACTTCAATTCAAGGTGAGTCTAGGGCTTCATTTGAAAATGTGTGATGCTTTTAGAAGAAATTGTACTGTTAATGACTACAGTCAAAAGGCATGGGATAGGGTGGAGCGAGACTTAATTAATTTAACAAGGTACAAGTTCTAAGAAGTAGACGCAGAAGCAAAGGTTAAAAGTTAAAAAATATACTTCTCAAAATAATGATTTTAGTATATTGGTTTTGTGTCAGATACTTTTATAAACTTCTACAAAATCTATCATTTGCATAATGTTATGTACAAACAACATTTGCCATCCAGAAAAGCAATACAAGAAGGCTAGCATTATGTGCAAGTCGAGTTGTGCAATCTTAAGGTAGTTTGAAATTGGTTTGTTAGCCCCACTTAAAGAAGAGAGATAATTAAGGTATTTTGCCTCTCATGAAATTTGTTCAATGTTACAATTCTGAGGGGATAAAGAAACCAATGTTGTAATTCATTTGTTAGTACCGGTTTGAGTCTTTTAACACTTTATAAGACAATATGAATAATGCAGAAACATAAAATAAAAGAACAGGAGAGAAATGGTATCACGGTTCGGTAACACCCTACTCCGCGGGGCCACGCCCAGATGATGAACAATCCAAACTCTTTTACAATTTAATTGGACTTAATCTACCCGAGACTCCCTTTCTAAGAAGATACCTATGAACTTGCAATTTCTCAATGGACTTGTACAACGAGATCCCCTCGACTTTTTAACATTGGAATCCCTCCAACTAAGTTTTTCTCTCAAAAATACTCAAATCATCTCTCTTGAATACAAGTGCTCACGTTTCTCACAACCCAGCAAAACTAATCAGAAGGTATATCAAGACTTAAGGGACACTTTCAATAAATAAGCAAGCTGTGAATAGCTTGACACATCTTCAATTAATTCGCTGAACCAAATCTGTTGCAGATCCTTGTTGCAACAATAACTGCAACATAGCTGTCACGGTCAACTTTCTCAAAACCAGACGAATCAATCTCCTTTCATTCTGAAATCTTCCCAAAACTGATAAACGAACCTGGACACGTTCTTAGGCGACACGGAAGATCATCCAGCTATCAAATCTAAATCAATAATCAATCAAATCAATTTTTCATCTTTGAATCAATAGTTGACTTACAAAAATAGAAACTAAAACAAGTTTTCAGATCTTTTAGTGACCTTCCATAAAAGGCTAGTCAGCTGCACATCTATTTTCAAATACAATCAACCCGCTAAACATTCTTAAAATAATACCAATCAAATACGATTAGAATCAATACACAAATTGAGAAATAAATCCCAACAATCTCCGGAAATAAATCCCAACATCATTCATTTATTTTACGATTTGATAATCGAATACAGTCTAACAAAATTTGTCTTTGTGTATTTTTGTAAAAAATTTCTCTCTTTCGCGGTCACACCTCTTGCTCGTCAAATTTGCTTAGCTGTCTCTAAATCATCTAGAAAGTTACTTCGGCGACTAGTTGTAACCTACTAGGTGATTTCAACGATTGGTGTTAAATGGACTATTAAATATTCAACACAATTAGAGAGATACATCACCACATGGCAATAGAATAGAACTTCTATGAATAAGGACTAAAAAAGTTGAATCCAAATCCGTCATTGTTATGTAATAGTTTTTGATGTACAACAAAACATGAGGACTGCATCACCTGAATTGGAGGAGAGATAAGGAAATAACAGTATATTTTGAATCACACTATTTTGTTATATCACAAGTATTATATAAATAAAACGTAGTGGCATTTTAAACTCTTATCATTAAGAATAAAGCATTTTTTAGAAATATATGTCTCTTTCATTTCACTAATTCGAGTTTTTAATTTTACTTTTACTACAGTTAAAAGCTATTAATAAAAAGTTACATCTAATTTTTCTACTACAGTGAAAAATTCTCACATAAAATTACATCTCAATTTGAATTGAAAACTCAAATCTGCGAACTGAACGATGCCATAATTGCTAAAGCTAAACACAGCCTAGCGCATGCCAAAAACCAAGGTGTTGTGTGTCTAGATCTAGCCTTATTTCAAGGGGTGAGTTACGGGAATACAAATTTTGCAGCGTTGGATTTCAAACGTCACTTTTGTTAAAGATTTTTTTATGCCTCGTTCATTTCACCGATTCGAGTTTTCAGTTCTAGGTTTCTACAGTAAAAAAACTCTGAGAAAATGTCACATCTAACTTTTTCTGCTACAGTGAAAAACTCTCAGAAAATATCACATCACAGCTCGAATTGAAAACTCGAATCCACGAAATTATAAGTTTTATTCTCAATGTAATTTAGATTTATGCCACGTGTTTTTTTTTTTAATTTTTAAAAACTAGTTCAATCATATGCACGAATCAAAACTCCAATATTCCAGGCGTAAATCCGACACTTGAGGTCTTTTCGAGCTTCTCCAGAGTTTCTCTACCTTCGAGTGGGTTGTCCCGGCCCATGCTAAGGAAAGCCCATATAACAGACTCCCCAAGTAAAGTTAGTCCAATGGGCTTACGAGGCCCAATACGAGTTAAGCCCATTTAAACTTAGTTGAGAAAAAACCGAGTGACCCACATATTCCGTTATCCGAAACGCGCGGAAAACATGTTGATTAAGCGGAGCCTACTCCCATTCTCTCTGGGCACTTTCGTCAAACACCTTCCGACCGCCAATCCACCGCCGTCGTTCTCGCCGCTCGGATTCCGACGAGAAACCTTCTCTACGAATACAATCAAATCCTCTCACTTCCAAACCCTAACTTCCTCTCAGCAGGACCAACTCCGTCTCTACGTAGATTCGCTTCTTCAATGGAACCAGGTTTCTCTCTCTCTCTCTTACTACATTTACTTTGCCCTCTGTTTTCGCTGTTTGGTTGCCGAGAAAAGGTCGAGAAACTGAGAAAGAGAATATCTTTGTAATGAGTTCGTCGAATTGCAGAAAATGAATTTGACGGCGGTTACGGAGGTGGACGAGGTCATGGAAAGGCATGTGGAGGACTCGCTTGCGATAATACCTCCGATTCGGAATTCTTATCTTTCGCATTGTAGCTCTTCGTGTGATCACCTCAAGCTTGTTGACGTTGGGAGTGGCGCCGGTCTTCCCGGACTGATCCTAGCCATTGCCTGTCCTGGTGAAGATCATTTCCATTGTCTCAACGGCTTTGCTTGATCCAGCAAAATGAAAAACAAAAGAATAAGGTCGAGTAAAAATTTATGGCATTTAATCATAAATATTGTTTTGGTGAATAGGTTGGGAAGTTACTCTTATGGAGTCTATGAACAAACGTTGCGTTTTCTTGGAGCATGTGATTGCTTATGTTGGTTTGGCCAATGTTCAAGTTGTCAGAGGAAGAGCAGAGGTCCTAGCTCCTTTTTTTTTTTTTAGTTTCTCGTTACAGCATAAACTGATGTTTTATGGTTGTCAAATGTTAACTTTACAAAATCAAAAGAAACTAAGCCCCCAAATGGACGTTATTTAGCAAAAGTTCGGCCTTGACGTGTGTGGAGATGAATATAAACATGGTTTCTCGTTGAAAATATGAGATAAAGTCTACGCTCAGAAATTACATTCTCATGGATGAATGAATGTTTTTAACCTTGTTATAGGACAGAATTTGGGGCGGGATCAATGCTTCAGAGAGAAATTTGATGTAACAGTTGCCAGAGCAGTTGCGGAAATGAGAGTCTTAGGTAACTATAAAAGATACAAATCGCTTTTATTTTGTCTCTCTGAGTGTATTTACAAGACTTGAAGTTCATTTATTGTTTGTGATGGTCAGCTGAATACTGTCTTCCTCTGGTTCGCGTTGGGGGTTTGTTTGTGGCTGCGAAGGGCCACGATCCTGAGGTGTGTTTTGCTTTCTACAATTCAAGGCTTCTCAGAAATCTTTGTGTAGCGTTTTCATATGTGAATGAATGACTAAGCATTCTGTTTGCTTGGTGTGTTGGAATAGGTAGAAGTTACAAAGGCAGAAAGAGCAATTGAAATGATGGGAGCATCTGTATTACAAGTATGCTCTGGTATGTTCATTCATGTGATATCAAGATTAGCTAACAATATTTCTTTACATGAAGTTCTTTTTTTTTTTTTTTTTCAAGAGTTTATGTTGAATCAAGCCCTTTTGTTTTTGTAATTGTTAGAAATGAGACATCACAGCTTGCTAGTCTCTCATAATATTGTCCTAACTAGCAACTACTTATTTATAAACTGTGAGATCACGCAATGCTATGATTTGTGATTTGAGACCAGGAACTTTCCTATTGCTTGACCAAATAAATATCAAGGTCAAATTCACCAATAGATTTTTGGCATATTTTGAAATAAAACCCTTTTCTTTCCACTTCAAAACTTAGCATTTTAGCTGAAACTTGAATGCTTGGCTGCTCGTGTGTTAAGTTAATGTCATTTGTGCAAGATTACCTGTTGACCTTGTTAAAAGGTAGTTCATCTTATCATCCCTTTTTATAAATATGAGTTAATGTGAATTTACTAAAACTGACTGTGCTTCGTGAATGCTCAGTGTTGCTAGAATTATAAATACACACATATTGCTATGTTTCCTTATGCAAGTTATCTTTTTCTACCCAGTGGAATCTCACAGTCCGCATGGACAGAGAACTGCGGTCGTATGTTTTAAGGCTCGTCCCACACCAAAGAAATATCCCCGTGATCCAGGTACACCAGCAAAACTTCCATTGTAAATATTCAAATGCGCATTATTTCACTATTTGTTGTAGTTGTTGCCTTTCCTACCCATCTTCACCAACTTTTGTTATGGCAACTTGTACGTTGAGAATTCTAAACTTTTCCTATTTGTAGTTCGAGTGACTATTAAGAAATAAAACTCACCTTTTGACGACCAGGAATGC